TTAGTGCTCACGATTAAATTCTAAAGGACTAATCGTTAGTTAAGAAATCTTAGCGTCATCTGCACGAATTCTTTCACACTCAATAACTCGTCGAGTTGTGCTCACGGTCAAGCGCACTCGACAATCAAGTCGATATGACATAAAAACATATTGAGAGTATTGTTTGTACCGAGTTTTATATATTTGAGAGTTTCCATGTGAAATTATATGAAGTTAATCTTCGTGAAACTATGTACGATTATCTCTTTATTATCTCATTTGATGTGAATGGCTTTAAATAGAATTTTATGTTTAACCTTCATGACAATATGTGCATTAATATTTTCTAACAATTCACAATATATGCAAAGCATAAATAAATAATTGCAACAAATAATGTAGTATTCGTGAACTAGGTACATGTTTGGATTAAATCAACTTATAGGAGAAAAGGTGGAAGACATGGAATTTTTTTTGTCCAATTTCCACTTCATCGTTTGTTATCTGCAGAAATTGTTGTCACTCATTAACTTGTAAATTGGGACTTGCTTAGTGCTCACGATTAAATTCTAAAGGACTAATCGTTAGTTAAGAAATCTTAGCGTCATCTGCACGAATTCTTTCACACTCAATAACTCGTCGAGTTGTGCTCACGGTCAAGCGCACTCGACAATCAAGTCGATATGACATAAAAACATATTGAGAGTATTGTTTGTACCGAGTTTTATATATTTGAGAGTTTCCATGTGAAATTATATGAAGTTAATCTTCGTGAAACTATGTACGATTATCTCTTTATTATCTCATTTGATGTGAATGGCTTTAAATAGAATTTTATGTTTAACCTTCATGACAATATGTGCATTAATATTTTCTAACAATTCACAATATATGCAAAGCATAAATAAATAATTGCAACAAATAATGTAGTATTCGTGAACTAGGTACATGTTTGGATTAAATCAACTTATAGGAGAAAAGGTGGAAGACATGGAATTTTTTTTGTCCAATTTCCACTTCATCGTTTGTTATCTGCAGAAATTGTTGTCACTCATTAACTTGTAAATTGGGACTTGCTTAGTGCTCACGATTAAATTCTAAAGGACTAATCGTTAGTTAAGAAATCTTCGCGTCATCTGCACGAATTCTTTCACACTCAATAACTCGTCGAGTTGTGCTCACGGTCAAGCGCACTCGACAATCAAGTCGATATGACATAAAAACATATTGAGAGTATTGTTTGTACCGAGTTTTATATATTTGAGAGTTTCCATGTGAAATTATATGAAGTTAATCTTCGTGAAACTATGTACGATTATCTCTTTATTATCTCATTTGATGTGAATGGCTTTAAATAGAATTTTATGTTTAACCTTCATGACAATATGTGCATTAATATTTTCTAACAATTCACAATATATGCAAAGCATAAATAAATAATTGCAACAAATAATGTAGTATTCGTGAACTAGGTACATGTTTGGATTAAATCAACTTATAGGAGAAAAGGTGGAAGACATGGAATTTTTTTTGTCCAATTTCCACTTCATCGTTTGTTATCTGCAGAAATTGTTGTCACTCATTAACTTGTAAATTGGGACTTGCTTAGTGCTCACGATTAAATTCTAAAGGACTAATCGTTAGTTAAGAAATCTTCGCGTCATCTGCACGAATTCTTTCACACTCAATAACTCGTCGAGTTGTGCTCACGGTCAAGCGCACTCGACAATCAAGTCGATATGACATAAAAACATATTGAGAGTATTGTTTGTACCGAGTTTTATATATTTGAGAGTTTCCATGTGAAATTATATGAAGTTAATCTATGTGAAACTGTGTACGGAATCTCCCTTTATGATCCCATTTGATGTGAATGGCTTTAAACAAGATTTTATGTTTAACCTTCACGACAATGCATAAATAAATAATTGCAACAAATTATAACCAATCCCAAATTAAGTGCAAAAATTGTTCCTATAAAACAAATTAAACAAGTGACAGAATAAGAGAGAAATAAACTCTATATAAACTCACCCTAGGCAACAATACAAAAACTATCTTCTTCACCACCACTCTTATTTCTTGCTCGGTTGAGAATGGCATTCTACGGACATTCTTCTACCTTCTTCTTCTCATCATTCCTTTTTCTTTTCTTGTCTAATCTAATCACGCTTGTTGCTCCCGGCTCTATCGGGGTAAACTACGGTCGTGTGGCTAACAACCTCCCATCGCCGCCGCAGGTGGTGCAACTCCTCAAAGCGCAAGGTCTAACTAAAGTGAAGATTTTCGACACCGACTCCACTGTCCTCTCCGCCCTTTCAGGCTCCGGCATCTCTGTCACGGTGGCGCTCATTAATGAACAACTCTCCTCCGCTGCAGCTGATCAATCCTTCACTGATACGTGGGTTCGGAACAATATCCTCACATACCTCCCCAACACCCTCATCGAAGCCATTGCCGTGGGTAACGAAGTCACTCCGCCATCCTTGGTACCAGCCATGAAAAACATTTATGCATCACTCTTGAAGTACGACGTCGCTTCAAAAATCAAAGTCTCATCCCCTTTAGCTTTAAGAATACTCCAATCGTCCTACCCTCCTTCCTCTGGTTCATTCAAACCGGACCTGATCGAACCGGTATTCAAGCCCATGTTGAATTTTCTCAGACAAACTGGTTCCTATTTCATGATCAATGTGTACCCATTTTTCGCCTACAGTGCAAACACAGACACCATTTCGTTAGACTACGCTTTATTTCAAGATGGCAAAGGCGTGACTGATCCTAACAACGGCCTCGTCTATAAAAGCTTGTTCGAGGCTCAACTCGACGCTGTTTACGCATCAATTAACGCTTTGGGATTCAATGATTTGAAAATGGTGGTTACTGAAACTGGTTGGCCTTCAAATGGTGATGGAAATGAAAATGGTGCAAATATAGCCAATGCGGCTAAGTACAACGGAAATGTGGTTCGTAGAGTTCTCACTGGTGGCGGGACACCATTGAGACCCAACGAGCCTCTTAACGTATATATATTTGCTTTGTTTAACGAAAACCAAAAGGACGGGCGAACTTCTGAAAGAAATTTCGGGTTGTTTTACCCGAACCAGGACAAAGTCTATGATATACCACTCACACTGGAAAGAGCAAAAAGCACCATGGATGAATGGATCAAAGATCAAGTGACGCCGAGCGCACAAGTTTCATGGTGCGTGGCCAAGGGTGACGCAGGGCAGAAAAAGTTACAGGAGGCACTGGATTATGCTTGCGGTCAAGGTGCAGCTGATTGCAGGCCGATACAGAAAGGTGGTACTTGTTATGATCCGAACACGCTTGAAGCTCATGCATCATATGCATTCAATAGCTACTATCAGAAGAATTCTAGAGCAAGTGGGACTTGTGATTTTGGTGGTACAGCTAAAGTGGTCGGTGAACTTCCTAGTGAGTAATCGATCTTTTTATCCTAAATTTCAACCTTTCTTTTTACGAATTTCTTGACTTCAAAACATATTTAGAGCGTGTTTGGAAGAAGAATTGATTTTGAATAGTATGGGAAATGTGTGGTTGAAAAAGAAAAAAAAATTATTGATGTGATAGAAAATATTATTCTATTGAAGACTGTGTGGTTGAAAATGAGAATTGATTTACTGTAAAAAAAATTTAATCCCTCCCAAACAGGGCATTATCACACTGCGCATGAAGTTATTAACCTAGTTGAAATCTAATGATAGGTCATTAACTAAAGGAACATCGACATACCCGAATATAAACAAATATTATTTGTGAATTGAAAAGACAAATAAAAAATATAGGTCAAGACTAGGTGCATGTCACAACTTAATAATATGTTAAATGGAGACGAAGTTTTTTTTCATGTAATATTCATGAGTTAAAAGAAAGAGTACGGAAATTGTGATTGCGTTGTGTGTATTTAGCATCTTAATAACTTTATTTATCAAAAAATACTTACTATTTCATTCCACAGAATTTGGCAACTGTGAGTTCTCTGCCGGTGAAGACTCAGTGAGTAAGGTGGGACAGACATGGTGTGTAGCGAATAGCGCAGTTGGGGATCAAAAATTGCAAGCGGCGCTTGATTATGCTTGTGGTGAGGGCAATGCTGATTGCGGTCCGATTCAGAAAGGTGCCACGTGTTACGAACCTAACACACTTGAGGCACATGCATCATATGCATTCAACAGCTACTATCAGAAGAATTCTCGACGAAGTGGTACATGTAATTTTGGTGGTGCTGGAAAAGTAGTCACTGAATCTCCTAGTGAGTAATAAAATCTTTTATACTAAATTATTGATAATCAATGATAGGCACGGCATTTGCAACAAACAATATAGATATAATTTCTGCTTAGTGTCCTTTAGCATCTTAATTATTTTATTTAACAAAAAATCACTTAATTTTTTTCATTTCGCAGAATTTGGCAATTGTGAATTCTCCAACGGTGAAGCCTCAGTGAGTAAGGTGGAGCAAACATGGTGTGTAGCAAATAGTGGGGCCGGGGATAAAAAATTGCAAGAGGCACTAGATTATGCTTGTGGTCAAGGTAGGGCTGATTGTGGTCCGATTCAGAAAGGTGCCACGTGTTACGAACCTAACACACTTGAGGCCCATGCATCATATGCATTCAATAATTACTATCAAAAGAATTCTAGACGAAGTGGTACATGTGATTTTGGTGGTGCGGCCAAAGTAGTCACTGAGTCTCCTAGTGAGTATTTGATCCTTTTTGTTAATTTTTTTAAATTTAATTTCTTGAATTTAAAGCATATTCATTAGATTGGTGAAGTTATTATCGTGTTTAAAGTCAACAGATAAGTCATTTAGATTAAACCCTGAAATAGATTGTAAAAATATGATATTTCAATTTAGTAATTATATAGTCGTGTAGAATTTGGCAACTGCGAGTCCCCAGCCGGGGATGTTTCAACGAGTAAGGTGGAACAAACATGGTGTGTAGCGAATAGCGAAGCCGGGGAGAAAAAATTGCAAGCGGCACTTGATTATGCTTGTGGTGAGGGTAAGGCCGATTGCGGTCCAATTCAGAATGGTGCAATATGTTACAATCCTAACACGCTTGAGGCACATGCATCATATGCATTCAACAGCTATTATCAAAAGAATTCTCGACGAAGTGGTACCTGTGATTTTAATGGTGCAGCTAAAGTGGTCAGCGAGTTTCCTAGTGAGTAATTAATCCTTTTATACTAATTTTTGACCCTTTTTTATCAAATTTCTTGAATACAAAGCATATTGTGAATTGCATGCATGTTTTTTTTTAGCGTATTTACTATTTCATTTACCAAAACAATGATTATTTTTTACCATGTAGAATTTGGCAACTGTGAGTTCCCCACAGGGGCATCTTCAGCGAGTAATGTGGGGCAAACATGGTGTGTAGCGAATAGTGAGGCTGGGGAGAAAAAATTGCAAGCGGCACTAGATTATGCTTGTGGTGAGGGTGGGGCTGATTGTCGTCCAATCCAAGAGGGTTCCACGTGTTACGATCCTAACACGCTTGAAGCGCATGCATCATATGCATTCAACAGCTACTATCAGAAGAATTCTCGAAAAAGTGGTACATGCGATTTTGGTGGTGCAGCTACAGTCGTTACTCAATCTCCTAGTGAGTACTCAATCCTCAGTGGATGTTAATCATACTCAACGTTTTAATGTTTAGTAATTGTTCGTTATATTTTTTATCAATAATAAATTTCTTTTGATATTGCAGAATTTGGCAATTGCGAGTACCCGACGAGTTACTAAGGTGGACAGTCTCGTGCAACTCTAAAATATGCTTATTTTGATCTTGTTTATACTGAAATATATCCAATGAGATAATATATCTCGTAAAATAAATGGGTCACAGTCAACTTTAACCAATGACTCATGTATGGCATAATGTGAAAACAATATGTAATAATATATTTCGTGGAATAATAAAGATTCGACTAAAAAAAAATCTTATTTTTAAATTATGATTTTCAATATCTTTTGGACACAATGGAACGAATACTCGACAAAACCTACTCAATTATGTGCCTGACATTTGAAAGGGAAAAAATAGACATAGCAAATTGCGTTCATACTTATAACACACAAGGAGAAGAATAGAACAAAATCTTATATTATCGTAACCATATTTAATTGTGTTTATAAGTATGTGAAATCGTATATTTATTATGAACCCTGCTACTCAAACAGGGTGGGAAACATGCCCAAAAACAGGGGGCTGAGGTGGATGCACCTCAGCCCTTGATTTCAATTACAATAATTCAAATCAAGGACTGAGGTGCAACGCTTAAAACTTGTTCGGCCACGTCAAAAAGCAAAGGGAACAAGGCCAAACAACCCTAAATGTTGTTTAAAGGTGTCGAGCGACGCCCAAACATTATGTTGAATGTTATTATGCCAACTATCATTTAACCTACGATTAAGATAATAGTGAGTTATATTAGGTTGCTCTTTTGGTATGGTTAGATAAGCTGGTTGTGTTGTGACATGTAATTTAGTTAAAGATTATCGTTGAAAGCGATTATGCATCTATAATGTTGTATCAAATGGGAGAAAAAAATAACTCATTCGTACTTCATCAGATAAAGGAAACCATCAACCAACATCAATTCCAAAATAATCATTCGTACTTCATCAGATGAAGGAAACCCTCAACCAACATCAATTCCAAAATAAAATCATTTTTATCTTGTCGACAATAATCAACTAACGTGCAACGCACGTTCTCTTCACTAGTATTATATTAAATTTTGATCATATTTATAGAAAAATTCATTTGTTTTTTATTAAATTACTAATATAATGAAGGAGGTTGAAACTTTACGTCACGCAAACAAAAAGTTATATTTTTCATGATTAATTTTAAAATTAAATTATTCTCTATTTTCAACATTTAACTAACGCTATCTAGTGTGAACCGTGAGAGTACTCAAAATTGCATATAAATATTTAAATCTTCATAATTTCTTTTATTAATCATTAAAGGCATAAACTAGTCCCAAAATTGAACACACGTCACTCTCAATCCAAAGATAATTTGGCCGGCCGGCCGGCGTGCCGAATTCATAAAAATAAATGGTTAGGCAGCTGAAATATTACATAATTGTCACATCCTCCCAACTGCCTTATTGATAAAAGATGAAGAGGTAGTTGGACTAATATTTTTTGCAATGAAAGTGTCGTGCCTTTTTCCCTAATCTTCTCAACCGCATTTAACAACTTGTGGCACGTAATTCTTGTACAAGTGAATACAGATCGATAGGGAAATAATTACACCAACGTCGACTTACAGTACAGAGGCACAAATTCAATAATTATACTTATTTTGTTTGTTTTTTCTTTTTCTTTTTTTCACAAACTAGCCGTTGAAATATCTGATTTTCCTTTCTTCTTTCTCATAATAATTAAAAGGTTTGAATAAAATTGCATAATGCCCTTTAAATACAAATTTTATCCAATCGGCCACCCCATTTGATGTGATTTAAGATAAGTAATTTTATATCACAAAAGTATCTTGACTAATTTCAACCAATCAAAATGTAAATTTATGTTCTATAGAACTTGGACCCCACAAGAAAAATACCATGAAGACGAGAAAAACCTTACTAAGGACGACTCAAAATAGAAACCGTAAAAAACCTTGACGTTCAGATTATACTGATTAGGATCCAACTAGCAATTAATCATGACCGGGAAGAATTAGTTCATCTTAACGTCCTCATGAAATGAATCGCATCTCACCGATGGTTGTCTCATACCAAAAAGGTACCCATCAACTATAAATTCGTCCAAACATTTAAATTCATATTTATTTTGTAAATATTTCAAATTAAAAATCGATGAAACCCCACCAATTTTCACGACGATTATAAGCATGTGAATCTTAATCCCGTTACACCAACCAATCCCTTCAGTTCACCGCCCCACTTATCTCTCTGATAAAGACCTTAATTTTATCATTACTAATAAATAATAACACAACTGGCTGGCTACTCCAACGTTCATAAGGGTAAAATGAAATTAGCAGTAATCGTAAATGCCTTGTTCCCACACTGCTGGATTTGGTCCGTCCGTTATCATCCTTATCTCGACGGTTCTTCAAAATAATTAGCTTTGTAAATTGTAAAAAAAATATTTATAAGAACCCCTATACCCTCACCCACCCCCACTAACTATACCATTTTCCCAACACCATTTACCCCACTTCCCAATTTTCATGTCCGATCCAATCAGTTTTCGATTTCGATTTTTAAATTAAAACCTCCGATTCCGAATCGATTTCGATTCGAAAAGTTCGATTCCAGTTAAAATGTCCACTCCTTTTTGTAAAAAATATTTACGAGAACTCTACCCACAACTAACTAACTAAACCATTTTCCCAACACCACTTACCCACTTTCCAATTTTCACGTCTGTTTTTCACCAAAATATATTTTTTTTCTATATAAGCCTAATCTTAAGTCTTATGGAAACACAATCTAGTACTACTTGCGACTTCTTCCTCAATTTCTCCAATTTCTTGCTCTGTCTTTTCAAGATTCAGAGCATGGCATTTTTCAGTCATTTTTTCACTTTTATTATTGTATTATCGTCTATGCAAATGGCACAAAGTGACTCCGGCACCATCGGAATAAACTACGGCCGTGTGGCTAACAACCTCCCATCGCCACCGCAGGTGGTGCAACTCCTTAAAGCGCAAGGTCTAACCAAAGTGAAGCTCTATGACACAGACTCCACTGTTTTGACCGCCTTTTCAGGCTCTGGCATCTCCGTCACGGTGGCGCTCCCTAATGAACAACTTGCCTCCGCCGCCGCTAGCCAGTCCTACACTGACAACTGGGTCCAGACCAACATCATCCCTTACTACCCTAAAACCCTCATCGACGTCATTGCCGTTGGTAATGAAGTCTTTGTAGACCCCAAAAACACCACAGTATACCTCGTACCAGCCATGAAAAATGTTTACGCATCACTTTCAAAGTACAACGTCGCTTCGAATATCAAAGTCTGCTCCCCTTTAGCATTAAGTGCACTCCAATCTTCATACCCTTCTTCGTCCGGATCATTCAAATCGGACCTTATTGAACCCGTGATCAAACCCATGTTGAGTTTTCTAAAACAAACGGATTCTTATCTCATGGTCAATGCTTATCCGTTTTTCGCCTACATAGCAAATACAGACACCATTTCTTTAGACTACGCCATGTTCAGGGATAACAAAGGCGTAACTGACCCGAACAACGGGCTCGTGTATAAAAGCCTGCTCGAGGCCCAAATTGACGCCGTTTTTGCAGCCATGAACGCTTTGGGATTCAATGATCTGAAAATGGTGGTTTCTGAAACTGGATGGCCTTCAAATGGAGATGAAAATGAAGTTGGCGCAACTCCGGTCAATGCCGCGGCGTATAACGGTAACCTAGTGCGCAGAGTACTCACTGGTAGTGGGACCCCATTGAGGCCCGATCAGCCTCTTAACGTCTATTTATTTGCCCTCTTCAATGAAAACCAGAAGACCGGGCCCACTTCTGAACGTAACTACGGGCTTTTCTACCCGAATGAAAAGAAAGTCTATGATATACCACTCACACAAGAAGGTTTAAAGAATCAGCCCACGATGAACAATGGGAGCAAGAATCAAGTTCCGGCAGCGGCAGCGCCACCACCAAGTGGGGATGGTTCAGTCGGTAATGCCGCGGAGACATGGTGTGTGGCCAACGGTGAGGCCGGGGAGAAAAAGTTGCAGGATGCACTAGATTATGCTTGTGGTCAAGGAGGGGCTGATTGCCATCCGATTCAAGAGGGTGCTACATGTTACGATCCTAACACTCTCGAGGCTCATGCATCTTATGCATTCAACAGTTACTATCAAAAGAACGCTAGAAAAAGTGGTACTTGTGATTTCGGTGGCGCGGCTTACCTAGTCACTCAATCTCCTAGTGAGTATTCAATCCTTTTCGCCAATTTTTTAATTAAATTTATGAGCTAATTAATTGATAAAATAAAGAATTATTTATGTTTGGTACGTACGTAATTTGCAAGATAAGATTGAGTAGCAATTATTATCGTCTTAATGATTTGACTAATCTTAGAATTGTTTTAATTAGTGGGTGTAATCATATTTATTATACTTGATTGTTAAGAAATTATTGATTTTTACTGAATTTTTTGTTTTTGATTTTTTATCTTGCAGAATTTGGCAATTGCGAGTTCCCCTCGAGATACTAATTGGATAGGAATTGTTGGTTTAGCTGATTTTTGACCTTTCACTGCTGTAATTAGCTACCTGATTTGGAATTTCATTCTATATATTTCGTAATAGATTCATATTATTGGTTGTTGGCTTCTTGTAATATTAGTTATTTATATATAGTTGTTGGTTGCTCCTATTTCCTTCTCTTTATTATCGAAAGACATCATGAATTTTCGATTTGTCCATATCAAGTAACTTACAACTAATTTATTTGTGTAAAACTTGTAAGGTTCGGCCAACAACTAATTCGTCCTTATCTGAGTATTTATTCCAAATTAAAATTTGTAAACTATGTTCTATAATAAACATCTTGGAGAAAATTATTATGGCTTTTCATCCTTAATAGCTAAGTTTGCTAACATAACAACCATGGTAATATTTAAGGTGGAACCTACACCCAAATAGACGTTTTAAGATCTAATTTCAAAAATGAGATCTATTGTTTATTTATACAAAAATAAATATTATAAATCAATATTTTAATATTAATAATTAATTTATATATGCACACCCTACCTTATCTACACCATTCAAACCCTAAAATCATTTTCTTTCTCTCCTCTCCATTCTCTCTTCACCACCTATCTCTCTCAACCCTTAGACAGTCGTCACCTCCGAGATGCTGCTGCAGTAGCAACCCTGCTTGATGTGAGCGTCACTGCCCGCTGCTGTGATGACGAGTCCTGGCGCAGTAATGTGAACGCCGCATGACGGCATCGTCGCTTTTTAGTGTGGCGATGTGAATGCCATGCAGTGGCTTCGTCCCTATCATTGCTACAATTCGGTGGTGCTATAGATTGTTGGTATAGGTAGTGGTGGATTTGGCGACGACGGTGAGGTGGTTTTGGTTTTGCTTGTTGGAGTGGTGGTGGTGGTGGTTAGTTCCCCTCGAGATACTAATTGGAGAAATTTATTGGATAGGAATTGTTGGTTTAGCTGATTTTTGACCTTTCACTGCTGTAATTAGCTACCTGATTTGGAATTTCATTCTATATATTTCGTAATTGATTCATATTATTGGTTGTTGGCTTCTTGTAATATTAGTTATTTATTATATATAGTCGTTGGTTGCTCCTTTCTCCTTCTCTTTATTATGGAAAGACATCATGAATTTTCGATTTGTCCATATCAAGTAACTTACAACTAATTTATTTGTGTAAAACTTGTAAGGTTGGGCCAACAACTAATTCGTCCGTATCTGAGTATTTATTCCAAATTAAAATTTGTAAACTATGTTCTATAATAAACATCTTGGAGAAAATTATTATGGCTTTTCATCCTTAGTAGCTAAGTTTGCTGACATAACAACGATGGTAATATTTAAGGTGGAACCTACACCCAAATAGATTTTATAAGATCTAATTTCAAAAATGAGATCTATTGTTTATTTATACAAAAATAAATATTATAAATCAATATTTTAATATTAATAATTAATTTATATATGCACACCCTACCTTATCTACACCATTCAAACCCTAAAATCATTTTCTTTATCTCGTCTCCATTCTCTCTTTACCACCTGTCTCTCTCTACCCTTAGACAGTCGTCACCTCCGAGATGCTGCTGCAGCAGCAACCCTGCTTGATGTGAGCGTCACTGCCCGCTGCTATGATGACGAGTCATGGTGCAGTAATGTGAACGCCGCACAACGGCATCGTCGCTGTTTTAACACGATGTCATAGTGCGGCGATGTGAATGCCATGCAGTGGCTTCGTCCCTATCGTTGCTATAGTTCGGTGGTGCTATAGATTGTTGGTATAGGTAGTGGTGGAATTGGCGACGACGGTGAGGTGGTTTTGGTTTTGCTTGTTGGAGTGGTGGTGGTGGTGGTGGTGGTGGTTTCCATATTTTAGTGTTGTTAGAAGTCTGGGGTGGTTTTTGTTGGTGGTGTGGTGGATCTAGTGGTGTAGGGGCTCTATGTGCAATTCGATAATTTATAGCAGCGACAATTACGGAGTGAAGCTAGGGACCTTGGTGGTGGGGGAGACCCTTTAGGCGGCTGTTGGTGTGATGGTTGGCTGTGGTTGGTGGATGTGGTTGGAGTGGTGGTAGTGGTAGTGGTAGTGGTGGTTTCCA